GGACTGCTGTCTGCTTATATGATAGGATAGGACTGCTGTCTGCTTATCTTGGCAATGGGAATTAGACCTGCAGTACTGGGAATATGCCCTGATCTCCAGCTTGTCCTCTGCACCAATGATTTCTGGAAGAAAATGATGCATTAAAGAGGAAGAAAAGAAAATTAAACAGGAACTGAGGTTAAAGTCCACAACAAACAATCCGTTTGCCAGTGGCAGAGGTTTGATTCAGTGCAGTTGTAACATTAATGTAATGATAGTAGAAACAGTTCAGTGACTGGGAAAGTAATTTAGAAACATTAGGAAAACAGCAAGATGGGTAAATAGGAATGGTTAGATGGAGGAAAATGCGCAGAAGCAATAATAAAAAACAGTCCTGGAGGCAGGGATGGCAGATACTAAAAAAAAAAACCCCAAAGAGTTGAAGTGGATAAGAAAAAGGAGCCAAATGTTAAAATAAAAGATTCTGAAAAAACATAGGATAAAGAGAGAAAGTGAATTAAAATGAAGAAGGAAAAGCAACGAAGGAAAATGTAAATATTTTAAATGGCAAGAAAATGTTCATGTTAATAAGAGTGAATGGGATTAGAGTCAAGGTCAGTATGACTAGCTCATAATTCAGTTTGTTTGGACAGAAAGTACTTTGATATGGTTGCTGTTCTCCATTGACATTCATTGCTATTACTGAAGTATTGCAGCAGTATTGTGTGCACAGGATGGTGCTGTTGGTCTGCGGCTGATCTTTTATATCTAAAGGATTAGCCAAAATTTCATAGCTTATTCTCCAGTAAATTAGATCTGATCCTTTCAAAAGAGGAATTGCTGTCAACTCATTGAATAATTGTGTAACCTTTGTCCTGGAGCAACATTTCTCCTGCTCCTGGAAGGGTGACCACACAATGTTCCATGGTCATTCAACAGCATTCCTCCTTTACTGTTTCTCTGCGTCCTGCAATTTTGGCACTTTTGTCTGGATGGCAATCGTGTTTATTTCCCCATGTAATTTTTAATTCTCAGATGTTATAGCACAGAAACAGATCATCTGGTCTATTAAGTGAACACAAGCTTCTTTAGTTCTGAGTTCCGTGATGTACCATAATGGCTTTGCGTCCTGAGCTTTCCCTTACATTGAGCTTTCGGCAAACTTGAGTGATCCTTCAAAAAAGTGTGTTGACAGGCCTCTGTTGCTGCACTTTGATAACTCATTCTGTCACAAGCATATCTTGTGCATTGTACATTTAAGAGGAGTAGATTGCAAACATAAGTGAAGCCCATGCAAAACTTGGTCTAATTGTTGAGGTGAAACCATAAAACAGACATCACTCAGTCTATTCAGATTTCTTTACTGTAAAGAATCTATATGTGTGCGTGAAAAGCCTGTATTATCCTGGACTGTGTTATACATTGTGTCTCAACAACTTCAGGAGTTTTGGTTGGAGTTTAATGAATTGGCATATTGTTCCTTTGTTTGTTTTGCTGTTTGTTTAAGAGGTAAAACCCAAGTATAACGCATTCTTCAGCTTTATTTGACATTTTCTAATGTAAACATTTGTCTTAGCTTATGCAGATGCTTTAGATGCCCATTGCACTATTGAAATGATACAGAGTAGATGATTTCAGGAGCTCAGTGTCAAATGTTGGAAAATTTGGGGCTTGCTACAACTGAATTCTATCATGTGCTTTGGGACATTAGGATGACATTTGGGTCCTGAGCAACTTTCTTCAGATGGGATGGGCTAAACAGTTTTATTATAGGCAATGCCCAAATAGGCCAATTGCAAGCCTGTAGTCCAATTAAGAAAGATGAGTGGGCTGCTGGCCTAATCAGAGGGCCAGAATCTCTCAGGCCTCAGCAGCTCCATTACAAGAGGTGGTTGTAGCTAAAGTTACACAGAGGGAACCTCAAAATGGAGATACCATCATAGAGGTAAGTTCATAGTAAAATTGTGGATGGTCAAGGCCAAAGCCACACTGAACGCTGGTTTAAAGCCCTCCAGTGGGTGTGATGACCCATAGTAACTTCCTTTTCTTCTGCCAACCCTTTCTAGAGTGGGTACAGATCCTGTGATCTGTAGGACAGCCATCTCCATGAATCTCATCGCCTCTCCCTGCAGTGGGGATGGTCTTAACTGTTGACAAAGTGCAGTCATCCCATTAAAGTTTTCCTTATCGGATCCTGTAATTATGCAAATTGGCTACATGCCCCATTGGAGTGGGCACTTGATCCAGTTCCTGCCTGCTACCAGGGCAGGATTGCCATGGGGCACAATTCCAATGCAGCACTTTGCTATTTTGCCAGTATCAGGCCTTCCCACCACCAACCCAAGCTTCCCCGTTTCCCCCAACGCCCACCACATCCTCCATCTCGTATAATTGGAGGCTGGCAAAATTCTGCTGTAATCTCAAGGGTCCAAATGAGGAAAGAGAAAAGCAGCCTGTGTTCATCCTGTTTATCAGCTTCTAGTGACTGAAGCTGAAAAGAGTCTGCAGTGGAATGTTGCATGAAACTAATATCCATCATGACTCCTGCATGTAGAGAGTAGATAAGGGTAGACGGGCAACTGAACTTTGAACTTTGTTTGAATTAATCATTTCCTCTCCATTACCGAATTTGATGTGATCCTTTCAAACGAGTTTAGCTTTCTTGTAGTTTGTTTTATTGCTGATGATTTGAGGGCTTGAATGGCAATGTTTGCCGCCTGCTTGTATATTGCTGTAATTTTTCCCTTCTTGTTTCCAGCTGCCAATAGTATGTATACATTTTAAACTCAGAGTGCGTTGCTTGGTAAGTACTGACAAGCCAACTGCCAGACTTTTTAAACATTGTTTTTTTTTGTATTTTTGTTTTCTCAACCATTTCAGCATCCAACACAATGTTCAGCCACAAAGATGGCCCCAGTATGCAGAGCTTTAGCAACCCTCACGAACCTTGGAATCGACTCCACAGAACGCCACCTTCGTTTCCAACCCCACCCCCTTGGCTGAAGCCAGGGGAGCCAGAGCGCAGTTCCTCTGTAGCAGCTCATGACAGAGATAGAGATGTAGAAAAACGAGACTCTTCTGTTAGTAAAGATGAAAAAGAAAGGTACGAGGGGTTAAGCAAAAAATTCATCCAGTCCTATTCTATATTTAAAAAGAAACAATGAACTCGAAGGTGTGGGTCATTCATTGTCATATAACGTCACAGCAAACTTCCTTCAAATCCAATTGGCTGATTCACGTGCTGTATTGGGCACCTGTACTTCAGTTAAGGATTCACATATTTAATACGTGCAAATTTAACATTCTTCTGATAGCTACATCAATCTTTAAACTCAGAGAAATGTGAAATTCACAATCTACAATTCACTCAGTTTTGTCCTGTTCCCATTTTTAATATTGTTCTGGCCTCCTTTCACATTTCTTCCATGTGTCCAGTCTCCATTAGATAGTGAAGACAGGATAGTCTGTTCCAAGAAGCACAACTTAGTGAAGAGCCTCCAGGACACATGTAAAAATAGTCTGGGTTGACTATCCCTGAAACATCTTTCTCCTTGTCCCTTCTTAATTCAGTGGTCCCTTTATAAATAGCACAGCTGTGATCTGAGTCTCACTGGTGGAGGAGGGAGGAGAAGATATGCTGCACCCAGACATGGTGTGGCACAAGCCATTGAAGTCATGTGTTCTCAAACGTTGCCCATTGACTTGACACCACTGAATTAAAAGATGCTTGATTTCGCTTTAAAGAGCCATCATAAATAAGTAACCAGAAACAAAAATTAATTGAGGGAATTAAATCTGGGGTGTGTGGTTGGGTTTATTGCCAGGATACCTTGCATGGTCAGCATAAAGGGAATGCTGTAGTGCTACCTCATTTCTTCTTGAGGAAAACCTGATAATGTTAACACAAGACAGACAACACTATTCCATTCCTTACTGAACACAAAATAGTCTTTGCTTTGAAACAATAAGCTGCTGTTTCAATGAAAGCAGTATGAGATTTAAGTAGGAATTTATCAATGTTAATTTTAAAAACATGGCAATTTTTCAACATCTTTTTTAAGGATCTTTATTAAAGTACTTCTTTACAAATAATTATAATTGCTTGAGTAATTTTCTGATTCAAAACTTTAGCTAATTAGAATGTTTCTTTTCATTTTTAATGGTGGAGCCTCTTCTGAAACCCAAGACTTCCAAAATCATTTTAATATTAAATTTATCAATAATCAACTACCCAAACCAGGCAACTAAATACAGTATCAATATTCACATTAAATTTAGAAATTGATATTCCTTGAACCTGTTTGTAGGAAATTAAGGAAGTCTACAAGCTAAAAATATCATATCATTCCATTTTTATTTTATTTTGTACAGAACTAACTACAAATATAGCTATAACTGTAACATTACAAATAAGCCATTTTCTGTATAGAGTGATACATTATTGCTCATTCACTAATGGGTTCTTCAAAGAGATGATTAGCGGCTGCCAGTGAAAAGGGAATTAACATGGTACTTTTACCTTCCTATTAACTAGAGAAATTTTAGTTAGCCAAGAGTACTCCAAACTCCAGCAATGTGAATCAGAAACAATATGCTTGCCTGGTGTTTAAAATGTAGCTGTTTTAAACTGGTGCTAATTCTTTATATCCTTTTGAAACAAATATTGACAAAACTAAATAGAACCCATTATTGATCTTTAGGTGTTCATGATCACTGAGAGACTACCATTGCAATGCCCATAAGGTTGTGCTGATGCTGTACTGTTGCACACCGGAATTCATTTTGACATGACGTGAATCCTGAAAGGCACACCTTCAAGTTCAATATGCAATTAGAGTACACCTCTGACAAGACTGCTAATGGTATTGGCAGATAAAAAAAGTTTGAATTTACTTTTGGAATGGTTTGGAAAAATGTCTCAATATTATTCTGTTTACGATTGACGAATATGAATTCCAATATTTGTATTCCTTAATGTTGTATGTCAATTTCTTAACTTATAATTTTTAGCAAGCCAATTATGTAATGCCGATGCAATGGGAGGAACAATTTATAGGTAAAGATTTTATCCAGAAGTATTTTAAGTCTTGTGTAAGAATCCCTGTTGGAGAGGTACAATTTATCAAGATAAGTGTCCTCCCATTTGTTGGTCTTTGTAGAAAGACATTGAATTAATTGAAGTGAACCATTCTTAATGTGGAGTGAGTACAGTTGTATAAATCTGGACTGGCCAATGTTGTTAACTTTGAATTCTTTAAAGCACTTTGGAATTTTCTCCCATTCCAGCCTCAACCATTTCTCGAGTTAAATATCTCAGTATATCAGGGCAGCTGTCATGCGATCCCTCAATATTTTACTATTGTGGCTAGAAGATCCATGCAGATCAGTGAGACCACTTTTCAGAGCACACTCATGCAAAACTGATGAAGCTCAGGGAGGTAGAACTCTGATCAACAGCTTTGTTAAATAAAATGATCTAAATACTTGGTGTTAGTCTCTACAGTGCCTTCATAATCATATGGGCAAAATGTTATCGCCATAGGGAGAAAGCAACCATAGGTTAATCTCTGCTTAATCAGATATAGATTGCATCCAACTAATCATTCGCTGTACTTAGTGCTCCTTGGTCCTCAGAGGGGCACAGTCATTGAAAGCAGCGGCATTCTGTAGTTGACTACAGCTACAGCTAAGAATAAAACATTATTATTTTCTTGTTCTCTTCTTACTCGTGGTAGATGTGAATATTTTTTTCCATCGTCAAGCCATATGTTAATCATTTGAGCCCGTGGACAGGATTCAACTTCTCTTGCCAGCAGGGGACTTTGTTAAATACATCCTGGCTCCTGCCCACAATAATTATACCAGCGGCAGGGTGGCACTGAGGAGCCCATCTGCCCATCACTGCTACTTAACTGACAACCAATGGCCATGCAAAGTAGCCAACTGGGCAGATGACGGACCAGAGTTCGCCTCTTTCACTGGGACTCGAGGGACGGTTTCTCAAAGTGTCCCCCAGGACCTCTCACACCTAGGCCCCCAAACGCTTACTGAAGTCGGATGCATCGCAGCAGCAGCACCCCCCCCCCCCGCCACCCAAATCGCCTGATTTCTGTACTGGGAGTAGCTACTGCCACTGCTGGCACCACTGGTACTTTCAATATTGCCAGGCTCTGATTAGCTGTACCAGAGAGGTGTCTCCAGTTAGTTATTAAGGGTGGCTGTCCTTCCCTTGAGAAGAGTCTCCACACCCCTCTGACCTTATGGCCCAGGGTGGTGAGAGACACAGGAACCATGGATCCCCATCTATTTAGCTCTGTATTGCATGCAATCAGTCTCTTTAAGAAAAGCATTTTAGCCATTTGATCTCATCTTTCTGGGATCTAAAATTTGATTGGCTTTCCATTCCAAAGAAGTTTAAGGTGAAGAGTGGAACCAAAAATTCTACAGTACGGATATTGAGGAATGAAATGGATTTTAATAAAGTAAATAAGGGAAGCCTATGATAGATACCTGAGCCTCAGAATACCAGAAGACTTAGAGGCTTAATTACAGGGGGTTACTTACAAAAGAAATGAAGAAAATGATGAGGGGCTGATTAACACTGATGGGTAAAATAAAATCCAGAACGCATTTTAGAAGTATAATAGGACCCAGAGGATACCTCAGGAAAGGATAGGTCCCATGAGGGAACAAATTGGCAAACTGTTGAAGGTAGAAGACATAGGTGAGGTTTTAAATGAGAATTTTACGGTCTGTGTTCACAATAGTGAAGACCCATGTAGGTGTAGAAATCTGAAAGGAGAACTGTGATATACCATAGCAAATTACAGTTGAGAGGGAGGAGTTATAGTGGTTTTAGCAGGCTTGAAATTGAATGAATATCCAGATCCAGATGAAATGTATGCTGGACCTCTGTGGGAGGCAAGGTAAGAGATTGCAATTTTCCTTATGTTAATTTTCAAATCCTCTCTGGATAGAGGAGAGGTGCTAGATGACTGCAGGACAGCTAATATGGCATCATCAATAAAGAAGGTGACAGAGACTTCCAGAAGGCGTTCAACAAGGTACCTCAAAAAAGGTTAAATCATAAGAGAGGAGCCCAAAGTGTTGTAGTTAGTGTATTGGCATGGATAGAGAATTGGCTCGTGGTCAGGCAACAGGAAGTGGGGATAAGGGGTTCATTTTCAGGTTGGCAATCCATAACCAATGGGTTTCGACAGGGATCAGTGCTGGGACTGCAATTGTTTACAATGTGTATTAATGACATGGAAGAGGCAAATGAACGTACTGTAGCCAGATTTGCAGACATTACAAAAATAGGCAGAAAGGCAGGTCGTGAGAGGGATACAAGCAGCTTAAAGAGATATTGGTAAGTAAGTCCGCTGAGTGTGGAATATAATGTGGGAAGATACAAAGTTGTTCTTTTGGAAGGAATGACAAAAGAACAGACTATCATTTAAGGGAAAAGATATTATTTATTTAAAGGGAGAAAAACTGCAGGAAGCTGCAACACAAGGGACTAGGGGGCTTGTGCATGAAACACAGAAGGCTAGCACACAGGTACAGCAGACAATCAGGAAGGCTAATGGCCTTTATTTCAAGGAGTTTGGTGTATAAGAGTAAGGAAGTCTTACTTTAACTGTACAAACTGCTGGTGGGACCATATCTGGAGTACTATGAGCAGTTTTGGTCTGCTTATTTAAGAAAAAAATGATTTCATTGCAGGCAGTTCAGAGAAGGTTCACTTGGATGATTGACTTATAAGCAAAGGCTAAACGGTTTGGGACTGTACTCATTGGAGTAGAGAAGAGTTTAGAAGAATGAGAGGTGATCTCATTGAAATATATAAGAATATTACAGAGCTTGACAGGGTGAATGCCGAAAGAATATTTCCCCTCATGGAGAGTCGAGGACCAGATGGCATAGTCTCAGAATAAAGTGGTGCTAGTTTAAATTTCCCATAAAAAGAAATTTCTCCTCTCAGAGGGTGGTAGGTCTTTGGAACCCTTTGGCAGGGAGAGCTGTCGGGGGTAGAGTACTAGTGTAGATTTAAGGCTGACCTAGATTCTTGATCAGTAGGGGATTCAAGCATTATGGGGAGGGGGCAGGAAAGTGGATATGAGGAATGTTGCATCATCCATGATCCTATCGAATGGCGGACAGGCTCAAGGGACCAAATAATTTTATGGTCTTGTGGATAAACCAGGGCCATCAGGTCTAACATCATTGACGGGGAAACTATTGGAAAGAATTCTGAGGGTTAGAACTAATCTTCACTTTGAGATGCAAGGATTAATCCAGGTTACTCAGCATGGCTTTGTCAAGGGACATCATGTTTGATAACTCGTCACCGCTGGAAAACAACTTATGTGGATGAAGGTAGTACAATGGATGTAGTCTACATGGACTTCAGTAAGGTATCTGACAAGATCTTGCATTGGAGACTGGTCAAGAAGTTAAGGGTAGCATCAAACATTTAAGGAGGTGTTTAAATGATCACTGGAAACACCATAGCATAGTACTGAACCTGACTTTGGACCAAGTACTAAAAAATGGAACTAGAGTAGAAAGGTGCTTGACAACCAGCGTGGATTTGATGAGCTGAAATGCATCTTTCTATGCTGTGAAATTCTATTACACTAACATTTAAACATCTCTTATTTATGTCCAGTATGATCATGTGTAGCCCAGTATCTGTAAAATATTGGATTGCAATTCTTGCTGCTGTGTTTCAGTGGGCAACTACATAATAAACAGGACATAGCTCTAATGCACAAACATTATGAGATGATTTTAGTAACCACAAAGATGGTCTTAAGCCACTTAATGTTCTAAATGTCCCATGCTTTGTACTGTGAATAACTTAGTCCACTCCATTTGGGCCTATTTCCTTGGTGGTTTTCATTATCAAGTAAACTGAATGAAGAAGAATAGCTAGACATTGGACTAACTTTTTAAAAGGTTATAAGTGTTTGAAGGTCAGGGCAAGGACGAGCAGAGAGAAGATCATATTTCCTTAAAGTCAGGATGTAGAGGAGTGGAGGAGCTGGTAGGGCATTGGACTTGGAACTCACCAGAGTAAGGAAGGTAATTTTAACCCAACCCACCACTACAATTAAAACAATCACCTGTTCTACACACTGCTTGATTTTAGTTTTCATTGACTCCAGTAGAAAGTTAAAAAGGTTCGAGAAACCGATCACATCAGCTCCCTGATTGGTGGGTTAGGTTAAAATGACTCCGATAGAGAAAATACCAAATGATAATTGACCATTGTGATGGCGGTAAAATAAAGCAACATGAGAAAGATAATGAGAGAGGGATGAGAGATTTTTAGGAGGAATGGTTTATCTTTGGCTGGAAAGGGTTAACTAACTTAATTAAAGAAAATTCCAAGTTTGATCAAAGTCAACAACTTGGGGATATTAAAGCTGTGACTTTCTCATCATTTTCAATATGGTCACTGATTAAAACAATATGCAGTTGGTGAGGTGTAATCTATGAGCTGCCTTTCATAGTATTGTGAACTGGCGAGCTAAAGCATGCTTCAGCAAATTCCTGCTTGTCATGGTCTATCGTTTGCCTGTTGCACCTTGTGGTACTTAAATATGTTCAGTATTTTGTTGTGTTTGCTTGTTACTCCTTACTTTAAATGAATACTGTATTATTTTACCACTATTTCAAAATGGTGGCTGATGTAGCTTTGAATAACACAAGGCTGTTTTTCCTAACTTAGTGAGCAAGATATTTTAACTTTCTTCCTTTTTATTGTCTAGAGTCTCCTTCCCTGCACCAAATATTATCACTGGCTTGCAGGATAGGCGGCTTGCAGTGCTGTAGTTTCCATCACGCTGCTACTGGAGTTGTATAAGAGCCTCAGAGTAGCTCTGCATTTCAACTTTCCTTTTCTCTCTATTTCCTGCTGAGCCTCCTCACTTAATGGGCAAGTGGGTACATATCCATGTCCAACAACATTTTAGAGCTGTGAATCGGAGGACCAAACTACCCAACAGCAGTGGCATTATTTTAAAACAGTAGGAAATTGTTTTATGAAAATGTAACATCAGGGAGATACCTTGGACCTAATGAGCTCTCAACATGTGATTTTTAAAAGTTTTGATAGGCTAATTCTCATATAAGGTTCATCTAAAGCTTATAAAATTCCCATGAAACTTCTGGCCTTTTTACGCAAAGTATACTTGAAAAATACAGTCTTAAAATACTTCACTGTGTCAGAAAAGAACAAAATTGTCTAAACGTTCACTGGGATTTTGTGGCTACTTGATTTTTTGTGATGATTTTTATCATGATCGGACATTCTAAATCACGAGTAACATGTTATCTGACCTCTGTGGGGACCTCTACAGGAAACAAATGCAATCCTGAAGTTTTGTGTTATCCAGAGTGGAAAAGTAGTTGGTACCAAGTCAAAGTTTTGCCAAATTGGGGTTATTTTTCACAAAATTGGAAATCTGACACCACTTAAAGTTCATAGTGGTGGGGCTTCAAAAGCAAGCAGTTTTCATCATTTAGGCAATGTAGCACTCCCTAGTAGAATTAAAAATTGCACATAGTGTGCACCAAACTGCAGATGCATTTAATTCTTTCTTAGGTACCTATCCTTTACTTTAAACATTACCAACAACAGTTCTGACCCTTTAATATAGTCGCTACAAACAAATTAGTCAACACAAGAGAAATTTAAGCAGGAGATCAAAATTTATCTCCAGTGTTTATGCTCTGTTTTAACCAAATCAAGCACTGAGTATATTATTGGTTTGTTGGGCTGGAGTGGTTTCAATAATTCTCAAAAATTGCTGGCTATAAAACACTGTGCAGTTTCTAGAGAACATTGCTTTAAAAACATGCTTGTTTTTACTTTCGCTTGAACTATGCCAGAGTCTCAGATCACATGAATGTATTCACTTCATTCTACGACATTATACACTTGAACTTTTATGGGATACTCCATTGCACTATACTGAGAACTATTGCCCTATATTAGGCTGAAATTAATTGAGTCATTGCAAGGAAAAGTGGGAAACCTTTTTGATTCCAATCAGCTGTTTGGTTAAATCTATCAGGTTCAAAGATTGGAAGCCAATAAAAAGATACTTTTTTTTTAACAGAAGGTGAGAATTAATGACTTATTCATCCTAACAAAAAAATCGTGACAAACATATCAAGATGATCCCAAATAGGGTTTGTATCCTAACTCGCACCATGTGCCAACAAAAATCACTGACAGACAATATGTGGGATTGATAGATTCAAATCTTAGACATTACACAGATATTCCCTATTTAACTAGATTTTAAGATTCTAGATTCCCTATCCCCTTTGAGTGTTTAAGATATTGAGATACAGGAAAGAATGTCCTTCCCCATTCATTCAGCTCAGTCACAAATAATTTGCAACATTAAAATACCATGAAAGATAAAGAATGTTGTTATAGCCAAACAAATATTATTGAAAAGCATCTTCTGTCTTTTCAATTTTGCGTGCCTCAAAATCTACTTCCATGGAATGTGCAAGTTCTATGAATTTTAACGTGCATACAAAGTACATTATTACACAAACCTGGTCCTTAACTTTTCATAAATGGATTGCCCTCACTATTGGATACTCTTTTCAAAATAGCTATTTTATAATAGAGCTACATTTCCTATGAAACTGGAATGCAAAAGAGACTTCACTGGTTCTCACATGATTCAGATAGCCCTGTGCAGTCCTTCACAAGGACCACAACCTCCACTCCCCCACCTTTGTAGTTTACCTTGATAACGTTGACATGATTGCTGAGGTGGGATATTAAAATTATTAATTGAATTTTGGATTAATTTAGGGCTTAGTTTTGAAAAATGGTCTTAAATCTTCTTTAGGCTGTTGCAAATGAGATTTTAAGGCAAGGACTTGAGGTGGAAGAAATAAGATTTTGAAACTAAATCTTGTTTCTATATTTTTGTATGTATCCACAGGGATAGTATTGAGAAGCGACACTCTACTCATGCATCATCACCTTCTGTAAATCAAGTAAATTCTTTGGGACACAATCGCAGTTCCAATGAGCACAACAGAAATCATGTAAATAGCGAACTGCGAGATAAAGAAAAGCCACGGGAACGGGATCTCACAGATATTTGGAAGGACTCATCTGTTGATGAGCACAAAGTTAAGGAAAATCACGCTCTTGAGAAGGAAAGCCTGGGATTAGAAAGCAGGATTGTGGAAGATTCCAGCAAGCATATGAATCGAGTTAATTCACCCTACATCAGGCTACCGAGCACAGACAACACGAGATCCAGCAGCATTGCCAACCGAGAGGTAGATAGGAAAAGTGAGTCTTCATATGACCACCAGAAAAAGGCCAACGAGGTTAAAGTGAAGGAGGAACGGAAAGAAGACAATGATATTATTTCTGACGTGATTCAGACACAAAGGTCCTCTGAGCATTCTCAACCCACCTCATTGCCCAATATCCATCCTAGCCCCTCGATGACCTCCATGCCTATGGCTATGGCCATGAGTGGGGTGCATCCCATGAATAGCATTAATACATTGGACAGGACACGAATGGTAGCTCCTTTTATGGGGATCAGTCCAATACCAGGAAGTGAGCGCTTTCCCTATCCCCCTTTCCACTGGGATCCAATGAGAGATCCTTTGAGAGATCCCTATAGGGGGTTGGACATTCATCGGAGAGATCCACTAGCCAGAGATTTCTTGTTAAGAAGTGATCCCTTGCAACGACTGTCAGCACCGAGGTTTTATGAGACAGAACGTTCGTACAGGGACAGGGAGCCCCATGACTACAGTCGCGATCATCCATTAGCAATGGACCCTAGGCGTGAACACGAGAGAATGAGCCACTTGGAAGAACGCGAAAGATTGAACATGCTTAGAGATGACTATGAGCATGCCCGCCTGCATCCCATTCACGCAGCAACCCTGGATGGTCACATGCCTCATCCAAGCCTCTTGACACCTGGTCTTCCCAGCATGCACTATCCCAGAGTGAGCCCCTCAGCAGCACATCAAAATGGCATCCTTAATAAGACTCCTCCCACAGCAGCGCTGAGTGCCCCTCCCCCCCTCATACCGACAGGCGGAGCACGTGCTGGTTCTCCAAGAAGGACTACTCCCTTGACTAACACAGAGACACGGGACAGGCCACCTTCTCACACACACAAAGACATTGAAGCACGATAATGCAAACGTGAAAATATCAACCGACCTAACTTATTAAAGACACCCTGTCAGTAAAGGCAACTTTTGTAGCGTGAGAACCCACCAAATGAAGCATTGGACTTCAGTGGACCGTATTCAGTGGGTGTGGCCTTTGTCACCATAAAAATGTAAAAAATACTTTGCAGGAAATACAGTTTTTGTACATTTTAAGTTTAAATTTTGCAAAATGTTTAATGTCAATTTGTTCCTTCTTTCCTGTTAATTTTATTTGTAGTATATATATTAAAAAAAATGTGTTGTGAAGAAAGAGCAAGCTAAAAAGAGTAATTGCTATATTTATCAAGAATTTGGGTATGTGGTAAATGAGGCAACCTGAGGAGAGCTGAATTGTCTTTGAAGTATTATGGTTAAGACTTGGAGTGAAGGTATCAGGCTGTATAGACAATTGTGTATAAAGGTAGTTCCTTGGTTGGATGGGACTTGATACATATATGCAAAAAGGAAGAGACAAAAAAGCTTTACCATGTACAAATGTAAATAAATTTAAGGGCAGCTGTATAACAGCTGATTCAGAAGTGTTGGACAAAGCGTGCTATTGGGAGATTAATTATCTGTTAACACAGTCTGCTTGTGCTGTGTTAGATAACTTTTTTTTTGTGGCTGTACAGATATTCCCAACTATGCAAGCAGGTGAATGCCCTGGCTTTTCATCCAAAAGTCTGCATTCCTCAACGGAGCCTTTTCAACACACCATTCACTTAACTGCAAGTCTAGCACATTACATTGTGTCTGAGGATTGTAAACTATGTTGATGAAGTAAAATTAGTTCTGTTGGTCTAATAGTGTATTAAAGTGCTATCTGAAGTTGTTTATTCTGTTTTGAAAAAATTCTATCTATGACAGTTGTTTCTTATGAGCAGAGATCTATTTTAGTAGTCACCTGAAGGTTTAGTTGTGCGCTTCAAATTTGTGAACTCCTGATGTTGTGCAGTGTTTTTGAGGAACAAAAAATAATGTACACTGGATCAGTAGTGCTAGAACTCAATATTGCCTATAGATTTTCATTTGCAGATATGCTGTTTACCATGTACGTAATGAAGTCCTTTACAGATCCTATTGTAAAGTGAAGCGACTCTGAATCTTTGGCATGTGCTTCATAAACAAAACTTGTGTTATGTAAATTGTGCCATGTTATTAAAAAATCAAACTGAAGTGTTCTCAGTCTAACTGTGCCGTAAGCTTGTGTAATATTCTTTGCTCTCTTTATTGGCATTTCAGAGACTGAGTGACTTAAAAAGAACACGAACAAACGATGAAATGGAAGGTGGCTTATTTTATCATCAATTTTAATACCTGGACTGAGAATAAGCTGTCTGTGCGAACAACAAGACATTTGACCAGTTAAAGCTATTTGGAGAACATTCTTTTTAATTTTTTTTTCCTCATAATTTCTACCCGCTCTACCAATTCTCTGAAAGGTGTCAACATCTGTTTAGATGTCTTTTGTAGATTGGGTGTCTCAATAGTATTTTGCAAAAGTGATAAGTTTTAATAGTTAGGTGCCCAATGATGAACAGGTTATTGTACCACGGAAGACTACACAGTCAAGCCCAGTAATGTTTTCACTCAGCATCTAAAATGTATATATGTCATAGCAGAAGCCGTTGGATAATGACCAAGAGCAGAAACTCTGCTGCCTCTCCAGCCCCACATATCAAATGGAACAGCCTAATAGTTGTTGTAATAAAACATTTGCATGGCTAAGATGCTTTAACCCACTCTCAAACACCATAACTGGACCTCCATCTTTAGGGTCTTGCTCTGCATCTATTAATTTACTAGGAAGATGGGTAAATCTATATAGATAGTATGGATGGGGTTTAATTAGGGATAGTAGCGGTAGAGGCTTTGAGGGGTTTAAGCAAGATAAATCAATATGTGGCAAGGAGTTAAGCCTTACACTGAGGGATGCTGAGAGAATAGAAACTCATAAGAGCAGAAGGAGACTATGCAGTCCCGTTGTGTGTTGATATTTTTAATCTAATCTGTTTGGATATATTATGACACAGTTCTGGAGCAGGTGGAACTTGAACCCAGACCTTCTTGTATAGAGATAGGGACATTAACACTATGCCACAAGAGTCCACCCCTGTGTGTGCTGGCTTTTTGCTAGTGCAATTGGAAACTAATGCCACTGCCCTGCTTCCTCCCCTTCAACTCAGAATCCTCATTTCCTACAAACATCTATCTTCTATTTCCTTAGATAAAGTCTCTGCCTGAACTACTCCTGTGACAAAGCTTTAAGGTATATATTCTAATCTGTCTCCTCATACTGTCAAAAACTATTTCAACTTGATAACCCTTTCATCAGTAATTACTCATTCTCCTATAAATTAGCTGTCACTATTCACTTGATCAGATGAAAGGGTGTTCAAAAAAAAATTGAGGAACCATATGCATAAATCCAGCTGCATGGTATGACATGATACAATTACAAAGATCTTACTGCAGCCTGGCTAGACTCAAAGCTAAAATAGACCGGGATGCTTGGAAAGAATCATGAACAAAATACACCATTGTGGCTGTAAAGGGAGGGGAGTTAAATGGGTTCATCAACAGGGGGATTAGTTGAAGAATATGTATGTATGATGTGTTACTGGGAATATTTTAAACCATTTTCTATAATTTAACCATTCCCTTAGTGAAGTCATTCTCAGATTTTTGTTGCAGCAAAGAGAATAGCAAACCAAGGAATGAACAAATATTTGATGACTAGGAAAGAAACTATTTGGCAATTCTATACACCAAAACAAGTTCTATTTAACAAGGGAGTCAGGAGTTTGCAGAGCAAGTGTATCCTGGAAAATCTGTGATTGTATATTTGTGACAAACATTTCACACAATGTTTAGTGTAACTAACAGAATGTTCTCTGTAAATAGGTCAGGAAAGTAAGTGATTGAGGAGGAGGTGGCTTGCTGTAAAGGATGGCAATACCAGAAGGTAGCCATAAGCCCAAACTACTCAATAAATATTTTTTGAGAAAACAAGATGCTGGGAAGAAAATTAAGGCATGATTTTTCCCTCCCTGCAGATGGCAAGGAAGATGGCGGGAAGGGAAAATAGAGTCAGAGAGATGTATAGCGTGGAATCAGACCTTCGGTCCAACTTGTCATTGCCAAACAGATATCTTAAATTAATCTGGTTCTAGTTGCCAGCATTTGGCTCTTATCCCTCTAAACCCTTCCTATTCATATAGCCATCCAGAAGCCTTTTAAATGTTGTAATTGTACCAGCCTCCACCACTTGCTTGGACACATCCAGCATTTCTTACATCTACCATCCAATGCCTTCTGAAAATCCAAGTACATCACATCCACAGACTTATTTTTGTCCACAATGCTTATTACTCACTCAAAGAATTGTAAGAAAATGGCCAGGCATAAGTTTCCCTTTCACAAAGTTATTGATGCTGTCCGATTGCATTGAGGTTTTTCAAGTGCCATGACATAACCCCATTTTATAAACATCCTCCTTTAATAGAGCCAATGCCAAGCAATGCAATGACTGAATATATTTAATACTTGAAAGAGTTGACCCTAGAGAGGAACATTGGTCCCCATTCCTCCACCTCAGCTATTAAGCTCTGAATAAGAAGATCTAGCAATGGCCTTCTAGACCTGTTACCAATTAATACCCTTAGTGGTCAATTAATAGAGACCTAAGGGCCTCAGACTGTTACCAGACAAAGTACCTGCCAAGTCTGGAAGCAGGAAACCTCCTGCTGAATGTCATTGCCCTCCCCTTGCATCTGAGCACCCTTGTCCCATTGGTCCTCTCTCCCACAAAGAGTTAACTGCTTGCTGGTTCCAGTGTTCAAGGTTCAAACGAGGTCTTCAGCAATGCTGTCCAGCTGCCTGAGGATGCTGGCCTTTGATTTTTGAGGGCAGATTCAATGGAGGAGGGAGCAGAACTTCAGTGATAAAGCATCTGAATAGACAAAAAGGTCATTAAACAGCACTGAAATACTTCGTTGGTGCTTGATCCAGTGAGTTTTCTCATTGATGGGGGCAGATCCTTAACTCATCCCCAAAGCATTGTGTACAGTACAATAAATTCTAGACTTAAAATATTAAATTAAGTTGAAATAAATTGTATTGGAGCTTGTGCTGAAGCATGGATATTATGTGGAATATGGTGGGAGATCCTCTTCAAGACACTCACCATCCTGACATGGAAATATATCACCGTTCCTTCAGCATCATTAGGTCAAAATCCTGAAAATCCCTCCCCTGACAACACTGTGGGTGCCAATACAGTTTGGAGGAACACAGCAGGTCAGGCAGCATCAAAGTCTTGATGACCAGAGCTGATGAAGGGTGTGAACCCGAAACGTCGACTTATCTGCTCCTCTGATGCTGCCTGACCTGCTGTGTTCCTCCAGCTCCACACTTGTTATCTCTGACTCCAGCATCTGCAGTTCCTGCCTTCTCCAAACATTGTGGGTGCACCTGAAAACGAATGGACAGCTTCAATTCGAGTAGGCAGCTCACCACCACCTTCTCAAAGGCAACCAGCAATCAGATGAAAAGGGGATAGCCTGAGTGCACCCAGCTATCAGCGTTGGTGCTCCAGATTTCTCTTTGTTTGTTCTCCCCCCCCCCCCCCCAACTTTATTTAGTCTGACTTTCGACTTTAGGCGCGATGAGAGTCTTTTAGTTTTTAAACTTAAACATTGCTACAGGAAAGGTCACAAAATCCTCAACAGGAATCAGTTTATATGCTCATTGGGATGGCAAAACATCATGTTCCCCAATACAGTTTCTAAAATACCATGGGAGACAAATATTTTAGTTGACCTTTCTGGAAAACAGTGATCCGTACTTGGAAACAAGAAGCGGTCACTTGTTGTCTTCAGTCATTGCCTGTTTGATTTTGTGTGTCTGTTGATTGTTCTTTATGCTGTTGGTCCACCTTGGGTGTGGTAATAGAGGAAGGAAAACTGGAAACAAGAATCTGGGAACACTTTAAAACCCTGTAAATAAAGCTGTGTAGGCATAGAACCGTACTATGTCATCTCTACCTACCTCTGAGGCACAAAATGCAACATTTACCAACAAGATGGAGAATTAATTTAAATTTACTGCTTGCAGCATCTGTTCTTTCTTCACCAGGAGATCAATACATGTTGTGGGATCATTTTATTTCAGGATTTGACACTTGGAGTCTCCTCCTGACAGCAAGAATTGACAAGTGTATACCATTATGAATGGTAAAGGACCAGGTCACTTTAAGGAATGCTCAATGAAGAATACAGGCATTTCAGCTTTTCATCAGTGCTGGCACACAAATATCTATTCTGTAAGAAATTCGACCAATTTTTGTTACTCCTGTGATTTACAGCCTTCAAGCCTACAGCAAATTATTCCAGTTTTAGAAATGATTACAGTTAAAGTGTGCAACAAAAATATCACCACACAAGTTGTAACCAAATTAAAAAGCCTTGTGGAGTAAAGTTTATCACTAAGCTTGGCTTCAAACTTGAAGACCCCACTGGAATGCACATTAACATGATCAATGATGTACCGATAATGTACAATCTTCCTTATTTATAGGACTTGGGTGATTAAAATGGGACTGTCATGCTTCTCATGTTGACATGTCACTTCTGCCAGTTTCACAAAATTTAAGACATGCCATTTACAATCTCTGCTGAAGTGTCACAGGAGTTGAAACAACTTGAAGCAGACTGTATAATTAAGCAAATTAAGACAGTCAAAGCCATTTTTCCAGCCAAGTATCCACTTCCTACATGATTTCCTGGTTTGTTTGAGCCATGTGTGATGGACTGAATTAATGTGTTCCCATTTACAGTTTGTGATCGCTATGCTATGTACGGAAGAGGTGTGAGTTTTCTTATCTCAGCATATGTGTGTTCTAATTATTTTTTACAGTAGTAAGTATGTGTTTGTGGGCTTTAAGATAAAAGGAGCCTTTGCAGAATAAAGGCACTTTGTTGAAGCTTTTCATCTTGCACTCATCAGGATAATTTGTAAGAATAGCAGAAAATCTACTGTATGACAAAAGGCTTCAACAAAATGAGTATTCTTTTCAGGAATTCTCAAGTTCTATACTTCCAACTGGCTGTAAAGAAAGTTATTTATTCGTACACACTGATTCTGAATTTTAAACACAGTGCCTCACGCATTGGTTCCCACATGCGCATACACATCACATACACACACTGCTTACATAGAAAGGTAGTATGCTGTTAAAAATAATGGTTAACTTGGTTTCTCATTTACAATTTCCATCTTCCATGTAGCAGGCCTGATTCCTTGAATGAAGTGGAATGCTTTAATTGTGAAGCAATATCCTTTTAAAGAAAATGGTTCTCATCAGACTGTGATGTTTCTTGTTAAA